ATTTCCTATGACCAGTTGTCAAAATTCCAGCTAATGGTGGCGTACACTTTCGTTGTACTTGATATAAACCAGAATGGAATTTAGAAAGATAGATTATTTACTTTTCAATAAAATTACATTTGTTTCTAAAAATCTGAAAAATTGAATCATTTAAATGCACAATCGAAATTTGATTTAAGGGTATATTAAATTATACGAGAGAAAAAAATTGAAATGACTATCTTAAAGGGTTTGTTGATGACTGAAACTGAATGGTCAGTTAACAAGTAGTTCCTAGATGGACAATTCAAAGAGGAAGCCAGTTTGCGTGATGTAAAATCTTTCATCATTGATCAGTTCTACTGAATTCTGACATAATGTCTCGACAATGTCATAGGAGGTGTTCGATACAACTTTAAGTTAAATAACGCGCATGGTCACCAATTCTGATAAAATATTTGTCAATGACATTTATCAATTAACAATAGTTACCTCCATTCATATGTCGATATATCCAAGTAAACTTGAAATAAAAATGCTTTAGAGTCTGACACACCTGTTTTATAGTGAACGTCATATATAACATATCCGTATATGTTAAACATACACGATCTTCCATGATTTGTAGTTGGATATGATTCTTATCCAAAGAGTTGTGTATTTTTTCGTTAAATCGAACTCGACACACAAAGTCTATAGAAAGGTATGTTTCAACGATTTTTTTTTACTTGTTTGAAGGTGTTCGATAAGTATGCTATAAGAGAATTCATTCGCTACGATCAATAATTTTTTAAAAAAGAAACAAATTAATATATAGAAAAGAAAATGCATTTTATCGAATCCAAAAAAAAATCATTGATTTTTCTGCATTGGATTCCCAATGATTCTGTATTTGCATAAATATTAATATACTTATTTTTGGCTGGGGAAGAAATAAATTTTGGTTCTAAAACCATAATAGTACATCCATGTACTACATCCCTCCTCTTAAAAATCTGATAATTTGTTGTTTTAAAATATTGGCATGTTTGGGAATTACGATTTCAGAAAATTATTCCAAAAAATTCAGCTGTTCAATGGTAAATATCTTTTATTGTACGACACTTTTCTAGCTTTTGGAATACGATAAGAATTTGAGTTGTGTAATTCGTATTGAAGGAATGAAGCTTATTTTAACCTATGTTATACGATATAACATTAACTTTTTACGCTTCATAAACCGGTCGGCAGGGGATGCTCACTCCTCCATTGCACCTGATCTCACCTTTGATGTTTGCTCTGCTCCCATTTTGTATTGTTTTACGGATTTTTGATCTTAAATACTGTTAGTATACCGGTAATTTCATAAGCTTCATTCCAAATGACTTTAAATTTAAAATAACATATTTTAAAAGTAAAGTCAAGCGGAGTCAAACGTTTTTTACGTAACTCATCGTAATATAGGCAAGTTATGTTTATACGATATAAGATAAATCTTTTATCCAATCAAATCTCGTGTAACAACTAAAATAAAATTATTGAAAGTCATTTTTATGTAATTTAATTTTAGTTATGACACGTCATTTGATTAGGTAAACGATTTATTCCATATCGTATACCATGAGTTGCATACATCATAATGTGTTAAGTCAAAAACGTATGACTGCGCTTGACGTTACTTTTAGAATATGCTCAGTTTGAAACCTTTTTCTGGAGTAAACATTGTCTCATTGTCTTCACTGAAATTAATTATGAGGAATGAAGCATACTCCAAGTTATGTTATACGATATAACAAAAACTTGGGACAGTTTACGCTTTTTATAAACCGCATTGCGGTTTATAAAGCGTAAACTGTCCCCAGTTATGTTATATCTTGTAACATAAGCTTTAAACATTCATCAAAACATTAAATTCATGAATCCTCGGTTCAAGTCTTTAAGCGTTGTATACACTATTGTGAGCTTCTTATTTTCCTTCCTGAACTTACAGTTTCCCATTCCAGCTCATTATATAGATAATTTATTGATATATTGCACCTGATATAAGTAATTATGCGTGTAGCTTCTGCCTTTGCATTTTCTGATATTAACACTGTTTATCTATGTAGTAATCTCACAGTGTATTCTCTTACTCAATAACGGGGTGGATGAAACATAGTTTACTTAAAAAAAAGGATTGTTGAATTTTGTTGCTTACCTAGAAAGCTGCCCTCAACCTGCATTCAACACTATATCTGACACTAAAATTGCACAAGATAATCTTTTCAAATTAAAAAAAGACATCATCCATGTAAATCAACATTGTAACATCGATCACATAATATGTAGAACACAGCTGGCTTTTTATTGCAGTTATTCAGATTTGAAAGAGTATTAGGGCAATTTTTATAACTAGCATAAATTTAATTTTTTTGGTTTATAATAAAGGAATTATATGTATCAAATACATATTTCAAATATGAATTTTAGCTAAAATAAAAATAGAAATAATTAAATTAAAATTAAAAATTCAAAAGAATAAAATTTATACAAACAAACCTTTAGTTAGTATTAAATTTAAACTGAGTTCAAAGATTACAATAAACGTAGGGAATTGAGCAAAAAAGCGAATCATGCAAGGAATTTTATCGATAGCAAACACAGAATCAATATAGTCTTTAATCTAATTATTCTGTAACCAGTAATACTTCTCATTATAAGTATCACCAATAAAAGCATACAGCACGGTTATCTATTTCTGAGGAAACAATTTTGATAAAAAAGCATTTGAATTTGTTGATAGAAAATTAAGCTCCTATTTACATGAAGCAAATCTAATTCTTGTAAATCTTTCACAGAATATAAAGTTACTTGTTTCCTTACGTTATTGCATAAAATACAAAAATATGAATAATATTCAAGCTCAGAGGTCCATAAAATAATACAATTAAATTAAAGAAGAGCAAACACGGACTTCAAAAACATCAGAGGTGGGATCAGGTGCCATGGAGGAGTGAGCATCCCCTGCCGACCAGTCACACCAGCCTTGTGCTCCTTGGCATGATTGGAAAATAACGGGGAAATTTGTAGGCAATTCTGTGTTGAAATTATAGCCATAGAACTACGAAATGATGACTTTAAACAAGACTGCTTTACTCTTGTTTCATCAACCTGTTTTTCTTTTCGTTTACTAGTTTTAAAATTACTATAAACGTCAACTTATGTAAATTTTTATATTTAAATCGTTATGCGTACCTGTTTTATAATTACAATTGATATTTGTTCTTCTTTGTCAATTATAGTATCAGATTTGTTTATTTTAAATATATTTAATAGAATAATTTAATTTGTTTCGCATCTCATGTACCATTCATATGGTTTTTTAGAGAATAAATGAAAGAAAATATTTAAAATTATATAATTACAAGGTTTGAATGTTTATGTGACATTTGAATATCGCAATTACATTTAGTTTAACTTATCTTTAATTTTTCTTACCTGAACCTTGAAATAATATATACTCTAGTTAGTTATATTTTTATCGTGTAAAGAATATGTGTTTAAAATAAACATGTTTGTATATCAATGTTTTTTTTTCTTTCTATGTATAGATATTGACAGTTGTAGCCATTCATAGTCAGTACCTTTTGTTAGATGTTAGAATTTGTGTTTAGACCGTTTGTATATTATTTATACAATGAAATTTGTTTAAAACAAATACTTTTTTTATGAACGAATAAAGAAGCTTAGTGAAGAAAATACAACTGAAACGCAATAAAATAATTTTCTAAAAAAAAATTCTTAAAAAAAAATTTGAACGTGGCCACACCTATTGAAAATCTGTGCACATTCATTAATACACGTGTAATTGGTTGTATATAATACTGAGTTATCATTCTCTTAAGATATCAAACTTCAAAATTCTCAACTGTGTTAACAAATCTTTTTTAAATGAAAAAATAATTATGTTGAAAAATTTCAAACAATTTTGTACAAGCATTTTACAAAAATATGAAGTATATGCGAGTCACTCTATGAATTCCATGACTTTGTTTGTTATAAATGAAGTTTGGCAGATTTATGAATTCCAGCCTGATGGTTGGGAACAGAGATAATTTCTTTTCATTATTTTTCTTTGGGTGGTAAAATCAGTCTCAGCAATTCCTGTTCCGGTCCGCATGCGCACTGACAGATGGTTAATTAAATTCTTCGGCATTTTGCTATATTTTCTAGTTTTATCACACCTTGTAATTATTTTTAGGCTCTAATAAGCATACTGTTGGTAGTAAAATACTTAAAATAAACGAACATGCACATTGTTTTAATCGAAGTGATTCAGTGCGGTCTGGGGTTCATTTTCTTGTCAATCACACTCCATAATTTGACATTTTTCACACAATTATCAGTTAATAAAGAGTCAACCTAACAAGTCCACTAAAGCACCTGCTACCGATTTATTTGATATATATTGTCAATTCATGATCATGCTAACAAGAGCTTAATCTTAAATCTGTTTTCACAGGCTTATATTTTAAAGAACTGACGCAAAACTGACGCGTTTTGTGTAAGAATAAACATAATGTGGCAGAAAACGAGGATATATGTCATAACATTTTGTTAAATCTAAGCACTAAGATGTGTTTAAATTTGGACCTATTTTGGTTTTAAATGAAACAAATATCAAATTACCTAAACGATTAAGATGCAGAACATATTTTCAAATTATCAGTTTCTGTGTTCCCTAATATATGTTATTATGAATACCGTACACTTAATACGGCAAGTATTCATTCTAAAACAATGTTTAAATTTATTTATTTTACTCGCATAAATATAACTCATTATGATACTTTGATGCTTTTATTGGTAATCCTTTTCGACAGAATTGGTCTTTTACCATATTGCTGCGCAAATTCGAAGTTATAGCTACTTTCAAGCATCCTGATAAAAAATAATAAAAAATAAAAAAAGAAACCAGAATAAATTTTTAAGACCATCATTGTTTTGATAAATATATTTATATAAAAAGTACTACGTACAAACAAGAAAATAATTACGTACGGTATACAATAAACATGTGAATGAAAATCTTTACCTACTTTTGAACACAGACTTATGAAAAACACAGGTGAAATCGACTCCAGTGTCTATTTTGGGGTTTGGACATCAAGAAATAAATGACAGGGTTGATACTGTTCCCCACACTGAGCATAAGGTGGACAATCAAGTCTGTGACGTCAGAGGTATCAGGGGCGAATCCCTTAGCTAACAGAACTATCACTTTAACTGTGACAGGAACCATGGTTATGATCTGGACGAATATCACAATCCCTGAGATTAGAGTCATCCTCTTGGTGATCATCGTACACTCGTGAGTCCGTGATTTCTTCAAGTGATAAATCTTGAGTAAGTGGAGAATAGCGATGGGAACCATCGTTGCTGCTATTAGATACGAAATGTAAATGATTTCGAGGACGAGTATGTCGAATTCCTCAGTGATAAAAAGCCCAAACAAGCCATAGAGAATTCCCAAAAAGAAACTTAATGCCCAGACTGCCAATGAGGCATATACAACCCGTACAGAGGTAATGGCAAAACGACTCCATAATGGATGTACCAAAAGAGCATACCGCACATACGCGAATAAAACAACGTGTAAACAAGAACTTTGGACCACCACCATGCCAACAGCGGCAGAAGTCAACGAAAACTCGACCGGATTTGGCAGCACATCCGGTAAAAAAACATTCCAAGTCAAAATGATGAACCGTACGATGATGGCGCTAAGATCCGCAATCGCCATACAGGCAATTAGAATATAAGTAGGGGTTTTCAAATTTTTGTCCCGAAATATGGAGAAAATTGTGAGTATATTACCTATACAACCAGTCACCAAAATAATGGAGGATATTAATTTCCAGGAGAAGGGGACCCCAGCGTAAGGGACAGGAGGTCGGGCGACATTTCGTGTCAAATTTAAAGATAAATTCAGAGCTGCTTTTCCTAATGTAAAGTTCTCCATTACCGCTCCTCTGTCTTTTTTCCTCTTATGAATAGGTCTCGACGAATTCAGATACCATCATTGGGTATTATTGCTCTGTAAAGAAATAAGAATAAAGTCCATTTGGATTTTCCATCAGAAAAAGTGATGCACATGTCAAGTAAATTAATAGGACCATCTTAAATGCTTCCCATCAACCCAGTAATTGGATTTTTCTCGCTGCAGCGGTTTGATGAAGATGTTCTATTGAGAATGAATCTGTCACGTGGTGGGTCGTCTAATGACGTACATGTTTGGCTTTATCCAGTACTGCCGATCAAATGACTTCCGAGCGAGTGAACACTTTTTTCTGTGGACGGTATTTTTATGATGAGACATAATTGATAGTCATCTTTTTGCAATTACCCGGCCATTGATTCCTATTGATTTGAGAATTTCCTTTCGGAAGGGGAGTTATCAAAGTCTATGAAGTAGACCTAACTTAAGATCTTCACCGTATGTTGACGGATCATTTATTCATGTAAAGTAACAAATATTATCCTACTTGGAGTAATAGAATTAACGGTCTCTCTATCACAGACGTTTGTTTTGATATCCGATCTATCTGAGTCTCATTATTTTCATATTAAAAATTATCTTCCTGTCTGATGATAAATTAGCCATAACTTTTTATACCTTCTGATTTATGAAATGTTCTACAAATTATGCAGTAAGTTCAAGATATTTTTTATGTTTCCAGAAAAGTTATGATCTTTTTAATAGCTTAGCTAGGTCAGAGCGCCAAAACCAATTATGCCCATTCGCTTGAGCTTTGCAACATTTATGGTTAATATAGCATCATTCATGCTGATTTTTTGTTTCGAAGGGTTAATGAACAGCATCTTGAATTTTTTTTTTACCATATTCTATCATAACAATGTAGGAAATGAATGCTTACCTGATTACAATTTGAAAATCACAGATGCAATTTATGTCAATATGTTGATATCCCACATACATTTCCGAAAACAGGAAAAAAGTTCACTAACATCCCGCTCCCAAAGTGAAAATGAATAATTCTTATCGGTTTTAAATTTTTATATTTTTTCCTGAGATATGACTTGACAGCCGATATCTCGGTATTGGAACTGGTGCCTCTCATAAGCAGTTCCTGCTGAAGTGGCGTGGCTTCTAAACGTTGACGGTTTAATAAGTCTGTCAGACACACATGCAGGTATAACTTTTACAAAGGATGCCTACGATATGAAAAAATAAATATAGAAAAAGCCATGTGATAAACAGTTTAAAAGAGAAAATTGAAACACTTCTACTGCGCAAAGATAAAATAATTTAATATACGTTAGTATTTAATGAACACTTTATAGAATACCAAGTTTGTCTTTTTGAACTTTATTTTAATATTGGTTTGGTGATCTAATAAACATGTATAAGCTGCAGCTGTAAACTAAACAACCAAGATGGTGCGCCGAATAAATAAATAATAATAAACAAGTTCGAAAACATCAGGCAATTTTCCCTGGTTATGATTTTGCAGTCAGAGAACCATCATTCATAGAAAATGATAACCATACTAGTAATTTATGTACATGTAGGTATAACATTTTAAATCTTCTTATCTCAAAGAACATATATTTTTGAAATTCTGCCGTATCATGACATTTATAGTATCATTAAATGTAAATGAAAGACACCATCCCTTTCCAGATCAGTTATTACTTTACACCTTATCTATACTTATAATTTCACTAGAACACAAAGGTTTTTATTTTGCAATCTCAGAGCGATGATTACAATCCCACGTATACAGTTAGCACAATTTCATGAAAACATGTGTTTATACGTCCCTGTCCAATAACTATGGGATTAAGGTTGAAGCAATTGACAGTCCAGACCATGATTACTTGTGCCTAATCTTCGTTGTTTCTATCCATCTTTGTCATCTGTCGCCAAATCCCGATTGTCTGTTCATTTCGAGTGTTATGTAAAACTGATATAGTTGGGAGAACGCGATTAATGGCAGACTTAGGAGAGCAAAAATAGGGTCTAGTGAAAGGATTGTTTGAACCGTCATAAATATTGCTGGACACTCACTGTTTGATATATTGACTTCACGCCATTTGTAATCTTGCATTGTTGATTTTGTCTTTTTAATCGGCATCGAAGCGGTTATGAAAAATGAGTGATTTCTGGGAGAGAGCATTTCTACGTCTAGAACCCAAACATAAAATAATTTAAACAGAATTCCTTGAAACATGGACTTTTTCACTTTTGTTTTTCCACAAAAAAAAAACAGGAGACCGCCATGAAATCCACTAATACAATACCCTTTTAAAAACACAAAAATTATTCATCATTTAGTCTCTTTCTCTGCCCACCGATTTCCTTCTAAAACATACATATGCACAATTTGTTGTCTACATATTTGCTTACCATTAAAAGTCACCTTCATTACGTCCAGTAGCCTTTCTGAACCCATGCTTCTTCAGAAGGAACATATGTATGTGATAAATACATGTACAACCCCGACTTTATGTCCACGAGAACTGGAAGGTTTGTTGATTGTTCATTTACCATGTGTTCTAAGTAAAATAAAAATACAGAATATAAAAGGAGAAGATAACGATTAGCCATTGATCTAAAAATGTATAAGAAAATCAAGCATGTGAGGACGACAAAAATAAAAGAAAGCACAGACACAGTCTGTTAAAAGCTTTGACAAGAGGGTATGAAGTTTGACATTTATATAATTCCCTGTGGCCTAAGACCTGTCTTTATAATGCGTTAATCTAAAACTATAAAAATACTCTTAAGGGAGTATGTACACTGTATTGTGTCTGAAATGACCAGAATCGATTTAAGTAAAATGTATAAAAAGAAATTATTGTAATGTCTGTGTTCCTTTATTAGCTTAATTGATTTGTATTTGTTATAAAGCAGAAAAGGAGTCTGACACATCTGTTTCTTATGTTGATGCCTTATTAGAAAAAGAGGATAATGTAAACTAACAACCAAGTTTTTTTTTATTAAGGTGATGACTTCAACTTTTTCATTGTCAAAACCTGTGTACGAGCTTTATTTACGCAAGAGCATGCTCTTCTTAACAAATATTCAACGAGGTAAATTATTGATAAAGTAGCTGAAAAGCAAGAATATAAACAGTCTCGTTTAAAATCATCATTATGATCATTGTAAGTTCTATGAGCGATACAATGAACTTGTCAGCAAATACTCTTAATTTATCATTAAGGTATGTCACTCGTGAAAGCTGTTGTATCAAGGATTTTTTAAAAGTATATTTTGGATCAAATTATTCAAATATGTATATATTAGTGTGTCTCAAAATCGCAGAGCGTCAGTGTGCATGAAGGATAGGGAGATAACGAACCGTATTCAATAACAAAGTCCACAAAACAATACAAAATAGGAGCAGAGCAAACAAGTACCTCCGAAACATCAGAGTTAGGATCAGGTGCCATGGAGGAGTGAGTATCCCCTGCTGACCGGTCACACCCGCGGTATGCTCCTTGTTATGCTCGGGAAATAACGAAAAAATTGGTCGTAAATTCAGTGTATAAATAATGGACTAACCATTAGTATGAAAAACGTCAGTCAGCATTTGACTCAATGATAAATTGAATTTGTTGACAAGGTCATTGTATCGACCAAAGAACTTACGAAACGATAACTTCAAACGAGACAACTGATATTCTTGTTACTTCAACTTGTTTGTCAGTAATTTACCTCGTTTAAGAAATTGTTCATACGTAGAGCATGCTCTTGCATATCGAATCAACTGAGATATATAAACGCCGTATGCAGGTGATGAAGGTATATTGCTGCATAAGTAAGTGAAGTTGACGATAGAAAAGTTAAAGTCATCACGTTTATCATAGATTTTGGTTGTTAGATTACCATTAACGTCTTTTTCAAGTTAAATCCAAGTATGAAACATATGTGTCAGACTCTGTGGTATCTTTTATCTCAAGCTCACCAGGATATATTGTATCGACATAGGAATGGAAATTACCATTGTTAATTGACAATACGTCGTTGATATACTGTATCTAAATGTTGAATTGAAGGCTGCAGCAAGTGTTTTCTTCTTTTCACGCACAAGAATTATGCTTCACATGAATACAAAAATAGGTCTGCTTATAATGGAGCAGAATTGGTTCCCATGGGAATTCCAATAGATTGTTGTACAATTAAGTTGACCTTTTTGCACTTAAAATTTAACTATATGGTTTATCTCATTTTATCATATGTAACCATATTAATAAATAATTAAATATAGTCTTATTTTACGTAAAATAGTTCGAATAATATTTATAATTGAACCAATCAATGCGAGTAAATTATTGTGTGACCTTTTTGCACTAAAAAGTAACCTTTTTGGCTAATAAAAATCTAAATAGGCAATAACATATTTTCTTGCATCAAAATTTTGACGACTTAAGTGCTGATCAGTCACAAAAGTCGAGTTGTTTAAAATAATGAAAGAAAAAGTTTAGGTCAGTGATGTAAATTTTGTAATATTGGCCAAAGTATGCGCTTTTTAGGCAAAAACAGTTTAAATTTTATCTTGACTTCTTTAATATATCTTCATTTCTCGGCAAAGTTTATTGAGGGAAGGTGTAAAGTTTGTTTTAAAATTATGAATTGAAGACCAATACTTAATATTCCTAGCATATCATGACGGAAAATATTCTCTTAAAAGTATGTAAGGCTAAATTTCCAAGATAATAAATTTAAACATGTGCAGGTTTGCAGAATTTTCTGCTAAATAAAATATCTTTCCACCACAAGAAATAGTCCCTCATCAATCTTGCTTCTTTATGAATTTTGGAGCATCTTTTTCATTGAATATTGAACAATTTACATTGTTTAATTTTTATATGTTATAAAAATTTAAATATAATAAATGGTTTGAAGTAAGAGGTTCTGCCTGAACTTCACTAAAAAGCTGAAGAGTGACTGATATACATTGAGTCAAATGCTGACTGACGTTTCCCTACTTATTGATAGACCATTATTTACACACTGATTTGCCGTCAAAGTTTTTCCGTTATTTTCCTATCATGACAAGAAGCACACGGCAGGTGAGACCGGTCGGCGGGGAATGCTCGCTCCTCCTTGGCACCTGATCCTACATCTGATGTTTAAAATGTCTTTGATTGCTCTGTTCCTGATTTCATCATTTCCGGGTGTTGGTGTGTTTGAAATATTTTATTGTTTGCAAGATTTCTTTTATACTTTTAAGAATTGATCTTTTGGCTTTATATATTCACTTTATAATTTCGAATATTGGGCATTGACAGACGTTAGGAAATTCGAACTAAAAGTTACAATCTCGAAAGTAATGTTTCTGACATTTCATTTACAACGGAACAAGGTGTAGATTGTATTCATATATACATAGATAAAACATGGGATAAAGGAATTTTTTATTCATGCCGTTTGTGCTAAATGTCTTTTCTTATTCATCATATTCCAATTTTAAACGGACCGATCTAAATTCTACAGCAGATATCTTGGACGACATATCGTCTAAAATACAATATAGCCTTTGAGATTGAAAGCAAATATTTTATGAAGTCATGTTTCAAATTAATTATCTATTCTCAGTTGTTTTTGAAATAAAATTTTACCAAGATTCTTTTTTTAACCCCCGTATATACAAGGCGGCAACATAAAAGTGTTTGACGCGTGACCAGGCAATCGTTTTCAAAAGACACAAACTCAGACTATCAGGTAGCACGAGTAGCTGGCCTGTCAATCAAAGAAGCTATTGTTTTTTTAATGATTGACAGGCGGTAAATTATTGATCTTGAATCAGGTAGATTTGGGGAGCGTTAACATAAAAGTGGGTGTTTAAACTCCCTTTCTAAGGAATATATTGTTCAAAATTATATGTCCGTTTTGAATATTTGTGATATCCAAAAGAAATAAAATTGAAATTGAACTACCATATCTATATTGGATTCCTAAACTTCCGAAAAAT